ATTTTTCATGAAAAGTGTAATTTTTTAGTTAAATTTTGAAATTTTCTAAAAAAAAATTTCATAATTAAATCCATATGGAAGATGTAAATCGGAAAAATGTTGATCCCGAGTAAATGAAGTGGATCACAAATACCACCAAAATACAGAATATTCGTTTTGCATATGTTCAAGTCCTAAGGTTTTACATACATTGTTTATACAAGTTTCGTTTTTTCTTAATGTTTCAGCTAATATATAAGCTTTTCCCTTCTTTTGAGAGCATGAATTAATGTTTCAATTTTAGTTATATTAGCATCATTATAAGGTTTTCATTTGCCAACCAATTTTTAACTGAATTTCTACCTTTTTTTTTTGGTACTGTGTTGTTTTTTTAGTAGCCATACAACTTTTTGAAATCGTTTATCTATGGAGCAAGTAAAAACAGTTTAACTGAATCCTCAAATCAATTGAAGTAATATGTCTGACCCAAAAAAAAGTGCAATGTTACTCTTGATCAATGTTAAATATATGTAACAGAGGTTGGCAAACATCTAAAGTCGTGCTTGTTCTGCTTAGTTGTCCACAATTTCTGTGCTTGGTTTTTTTTAACATGCAAGTTTTTAAATTCACTTTGTTGTTGTTCTGAAATGTTCAACGCAATTTAAAAATTGTCATTAAGTTATTTCTGTATAAACCGGTTTTTAATTACTCATTTAGTTTCATATCAGTTGTCATGTTAGGTTTAATTTTTTGTTTCATATTAGTTATCATTTTAGGCTTAATATTCACCTAATTAACTCTAATTATTTTTTCGTAATTTTAAGTATGAAAAAGTCTATTTTTCAAAAAATTTGAAGTTTTAAAATTAATTTTACAAAATTCCTCTTGAAATTAAGCATAAAACTCAAAATATTCAAATACTGTTTCACTCGTAAAATAAAAACATTAGCGCAAATCCTCTATATATTACTAGAGGAGACACTAGATGAAAAATCTTATCTGTCATCTAAAGAAGAACTTAAGGACCTTATTTTCTAAAAAAATTATTAATGACAAATAAGTTGAAATAACAAATATGTGGTAATTAATATAGAGAATTTTATTTAAGAAAAATAGAAAATTTTTGAAAATATCTTATTGTATTTTCAATAACTACTAGATTTTTTTATCCGAATCAAGCACGGGATTAGAATATTCAAAAGCAAAAATTTATGATTATTTCAAATAGATGGGAGAATTTAAAACTAATAAAGATAAAATATATTTATGTTTGATCAAAATATAACTTTTTGACATTTATGCACAATACATATTATTTTTATACGTTTACAAATGTTAGAATACACGTTTAAATAGTAAATTTGATTAAAAATATATTAATTCTTTAATCTCACGCTTGGCGTGGATCAAAATCTAATCAAATACTTAAATAATCTGGTCACAAATTTTAAAATCATTAGTGAAACAGCAATATATGTACCAATGATAAAGATGTCATTGAGTTTATCAGTTTAAGCGGTTTAAAAAATAAAGTTAATTACTTAGAACAAATCTGATTATGCATGGTGTTTATACAAATATAGTACATTTGAAAGAAATACTAGTTTTTATATCAAGAAAATCATAAAATCCAACGTCTTTAAGAAGTTAAAAGAAGAAAAGTCGGGTCAAACTATTTTGGAAAGAAGACGGTCAAAGATTCTGACAAGAAGACGACAAAGTAGAGGAACCATTTTGGAAGTGGAAAACGAAAGATTGTAAAAAAAACATATCTTGAAAAAACAGTCGGAAACAAGAAAAAGAAAGGGGTTTGGCTTTTCGAGGGGATGTAAGGCTTTCGTTCAGTATTGTGGGGCCACTTCGCCAGTTGGATTCCCATTTCTTTAATTTTAAATCTCTCATGAACTCTATGAATTATGTTGAATAGTAGTCATTGTATTACGTTGAAGAGTTGGCCAAAAAGGCCTAAAACAGACATGTTCTACGTTGGAGGAAAACAAATTATTATTATTGGAGTG